TCGTTGAACTGAAACAGTTATGTAAAGAGGAATGGTCCTAAATTCCTACAAGAAACATTTGGTTGAGGTTATTGCTGCTAAATGAGGGTCAGCCAGTTATTAAATCCAATCCAGTGTTTGTCTATTGTTGTGACTTGGATGAAGATCATTTTACATTTTGACTAATTTATGTGGAAATCCAGGTAATTCCAAAGGGTTCACATACTTTTTCCTGTGACTGTAAATGGAGCATATTGTATATTTTTCAAATATTAAGTCTAATTCAGCAAAGTGTATAAAAAGCAATAAAAATCGAATACGTAATTCTATTAAAATCTCAAAACACGTAAAAACTCAGTCAGGTATTGGTCCTTCTAAACTGAACAAAATTCAGCACAACCAAATTAACTTTATTACTTTGCACTTTTGATTCTAAAAAAACAGGTGTTTATATATATATATATATATATAATGTGTGTGAGTGTGTGTGTATGTATTATTCATTTTAATTACTTTAAATTATAATCCACAGTAGCACACATGGAATCAAGATTAGTGCTGAAATTATCTAAATTGTTAAACCTACCTCTATCAATTAAATGATAGTCAATAGCATTTAACTGCTTTTCTATGTTTTGTATTATCACAATATTATATAAGTTGACTTTTTGTACTGTTGAACCGACAAATAAGACATTTAAAATGTCAAAAATTTAAGCAGGAATTTTCACCATTTCCTTTTGATATCCCCAACACTTAATGTAAAAATAAAAAACATGTTGATGGGTAAGTCAAGTTGTTACAAGTCAAGTCATAACAAGTCAAGGGCTGTTTCTCAGTCTGCGTTCTTGTCTGTACTTGTTCTTCTTGTGGACTTGTGAAACGTCATCAGTCGCAGTCAAAGTACTGTTCCAATTCAAAAGTCTCCGCCCGTTTTACCAAGCTTGCATCGGTGGTGACTTATGTGGACTTCGTATCGCCAGATATCCCAGAATGCATTCTGCCACCAAAAAGTTGAAATGTCAGACAAGAAAACTCAGAACTGTAACTTATAATACTGATGTTCTTGTGTCACATATAGTAGTAGTAGTAGTTTTTAAATAAAAAAATTGCTAAAACATTTTTGGAGATGTGAGGTCCCGCCCGCTTACGGGTCCAGCCGTCATCAATTCCGCTGCTGTTCCAATTGCTGAATGACGGACTGCGTGCTACTGTTCCTGGGAGTTTGTACTCCCGAGCCAAACTTGCCAAGTCCAAGCTGTAAAGTACAGAAGTCCGAACTTGCCGAACTCGGTATTGAGAAACAGCCAATATGTTCATATCTACAATGCTAACTTTGCCTCTAACTGTATTTTGAAATTCTAATGGCATGACCCCCTTATTTGCAGTAAGTGACATTGGCTTTTCAGTATTGACCTCAATTGCTCATGCACAATTACTGAAATCTATATTAGAGTAGTCTGTGAAGATTCTCAGTTGTCCAGGTCATAGTTATCCAAAGAAGGTTGAAATCAAGGGCAACTGTACTTAGTTGGACTTACTTCCAGCAAGTTGAATGTAATAGACTTTGGAACCAAACCTCACACACAATGTCTCTCAGATTAAGTGTAAAAGCCAGAAATGAAAAGCAGAATAAAAAACAAGATCACGTTTTCATTAGTGTTGACCCTGGTCAAGTCAGCAGAGGCATTTATTTATTCTTCATTTTTCATGGATGTAAAACTGAACTGTTGCATGAGCTATACTTCACCACACGGCAGATGTTTACATATGTTGCGGATTTTGGACATTTTCAGCCCGTATAGTATGGGGGTAAAGAGAGGCTGGCATGTTAGAAAGTATAATGATAATAAAATGCCTGACACACTGGGTACAGTGCTCATATCAAACCTGCTCTGTAATATTTGAAAACAGCTACCAAAAGAAAAGTTGAGCAGAGACACAAGGTGAGGAGTGCAGGTACTGACAGCTTTTTGTCTGGTCTGCTTAGAACCAGAAAAACAAACTTTGAGGATCTTCATGTAAGAGAAAATGATTAAAATGAGAGGAATGATGACGGAGATGACGGTGTAAAACAGTCCATAAATGTTATTGACTGTGGTGTCAGAGCAGGCCAGTTTAACAATAGAGTAGTTTCCACAGTAAACTTTGTTAATGATGTTCCCGCAGAGCTTTAAAGGTGCACTCAGTGCTATCAATACAGCAATTGCAAGAAAAGGGAATAACCACGTTACAGCAATAAGCAGAGCAATCTTTTTAGACGTCATGCGTGTGTTATATTGTAGAGGATAACAGATAGCAAGATATCGGTCATAAGACATGATGGCTAAGTTCAGAAATTCTACACTCCCATAAGAGTACACACAGAAAATCTGCAGGAAACAAAAGGGAGCAGAAACAGTGTGAATGTCAGAGAGAATCTGAAGCAGAAGGAATGGAAACAACCCTGTACTACCATACAGCTCATTTACAAACAGGCTGCACAGAAAAAGGTACATAGGTTCATGTAAGCTTCTGTTCATACAGATAACCACAATGAGCAGAAGATTCACACAAACAACTGACATATAAAAAGTCAGAATAATCAGGAAATATAGGTATTTAAAAACCCCTGAGTCAAAGTAGGCAGCAAGTGTAAAATATGAAAACTGTGTAGAGTTTATCATGATCCTGGTTCTTAAACAATTATTAACACAGTTCATTAGATAAACATCTTGCAGTCAGTTTAATAAGTTTAAATGCATCATTGTAAAAGAAAGCATCAATAATATAAACACACCTCGGTGTGTCAAAGTTACTATTACATTAGTTAATGTCACTATAACACAGGTTGTGAGAACGGATGCGTTCAACCATTGATGTGCTCACCTGCTGGAGTCACACTGTGACTGCCTCCCACCTGAGCTCAGACACCTACTCTGCTTCTTTTGGAGTGAGCTATTGATTGAAATAGCCAATCATATTAAAACAGCCCTGCCCCAGACCCATCTGGGCCAGTAGTCACACACTATGGGCCAGTCGATCAAGGCACATACCAATCCATTTTCAACTGCAAATGTTTGTCTTTATTTTGATACTTTGTGGGTTTGTTGGCCCAATTGTCCGGCTGGCACACGTGGAAAACTTACAGTATCCCCAATAGCCAGTCTGCCCTTGCATAAAATACAGCAGGCAAGGTAAAATTGAACTATCTTTATTAAAAAACGAGGTGATGGTGCGGTGGCTGGTGGGCTGATAGCAGGTGGCAGGCAGGATTGAGAATGATGTGGCCTGGCTGAGGTTCTCTGTGGTGACCTAGTCGTGAGTGTTGAGGAAACAGAGAAAAAGAACATGAATTTACCACAATGCACTACAAATACTCGCAAAACAGGCTCAGGAAAAAACGCTGGAGACAAATATTCCCAAGGTACTTCACCACAAGGTCAGCAAAGATCATCCATCCATCGACCCTCATGGTCCCCCTTACATGTTGAGTCTTTGTTAATGAAACAGAATTATTGCTGTTAGTTCATCTGAAAACTGTAAAAAGTGATATGATTGCCGGGGATGCACCGAATGTTCGGCCACCGAAATTAATTGGCCGAAAATAGCAAAAAAAAAACTTTTGGGGTTCAGCCTAATACGTCAAAAGACCAAGCGCTGAGTGTTTCTGTCACTCGTCTGTGAGAAGGAGATTAAGCTAGCCACACCTAAACTTGGAGTGCACACGTATTCAAGCCTTTACGGTAAGTGAAGCGGCCCAGAGCGAGCGGACAGGCAGGTTAGAGACTTTATCCTGTCAGTTTGTCTCTTTACAAAGACAAGTGTTGCAGTATGAGAGTCCTACCTGAAGAGAGGCTGTGAAGTCTTCATGTTACGCCGTAGGAGAACCACATACAACATTATTTATCAAACTGGGTCGGACTGGATTGATTTAGCGCGAGGAGGAAACACATGTGACAACGTCCGGTTTTCAAAATAAGGCGTCTATACAGGATGGAAGTAAGATTAACTGGATTATATTCACAGAAAGTATAAAACATATTATATCGTGTCCACTCATGTAATTTACTTAACTGGACCCTCTCGGGCCCCGGACCCCCCCACCATAGTCTCTGAGGAAACACTGAGGAAAAAGCACTTTTTCACTATTTCATTTATGGAGTGGTAAAAAAAAGGATATATAAATGGAAAAAGTCTGAATGTACGTGTTTGGTATTCGTCAAATTTTTTCATTAATTCTGGTTTCGGCTTCGGCCTAGAATTTTCAGAGTTTAAGTTCTGCAGAACTGAAGAAGTCCATTGGATGAGGGACGAAACGTCTTCTAGTATCTTCAACCAAGTCCAGTAGGCCTTCACTTTAACCTTCTTTGGAAAACTATGACAGACTTCACACATTCTGTATGACCACATGACTGGTGAACGCGCACCTTTACACATATGAACACATGACTGGTGACAGCGCACCTTCAAACATACTGTATGAACACATGACTGGTGACAGCGCACCTTCACACATACTGTATGAACACATGACTGGTGACAGCGCACCTTCACACATACTGTATGAACACATGACTGGTGACAGCGCACCTTCACACATACTGTATGAACACATGACTGGTGACAGCGCACCTTCACACATATGAACACATGACTGGTGACAGCGCACCTTTACACATATGAACACATGACTGGTGACAGCGCACCTTCACACATACTGTATGAACACACGACTGGTGACAGCGCATCTCCATACATACTGCATGAACACATGACTGGTGAACGCGCACCTTCACACATATGAACACATGACTGGTGACAGCGCACCTTCACACATACTGTATGAACACATGACTGGTGACAGTGCACCTTCACACATACTGTATGAACATATGACTGGTGACAGCGCACCTTCACACATACTGTATGAACACATGACTGGTGACAGCGCACCTTCACACATATGAACACATGACTGATGGCAGCGCACCTCCATACATACTGCATGAACACATGACTGGTGAACGCGCACCTTCACACATATGAACACATGACTGGTGAACGCGCACCTTCACACATACTGTATGAACACATGACTGGTGACAGCGCACCTTCACACATACTGTATGAACACATGACTGGTGACAGCGCACCTTTACACATATGAACACATGACTGGTGACAGCGCACCTTCACACATACTGTATGAACACACGACTGGTGACAGCGCACCGTCACACATACTGTATGAACACATGACTGGTGACAGCGCACCTTCACACATACTGTATGAACACATGACTGGTGACAGCGCACCTTCACACATACTGTATGAACACACGACTGGTGACAGCGCACTGTCACACATACTGTATGAACACATGACTGGTGACAGCGCACCTTCACACATACTGTATGAACACATGACTGGTGACAGCGCACCTTCACACATACTGTATGAACACACGACTGGTGACAGCGCATCTCCATACATACTGCATGAACACATGACTGGTGAACGCGCACCTTCACACATATGAACACATGACTGGTGACAGCGCACCTTCACACATACTGTATGAACACATGACTGGTGACAGTGCACCTTCACACATACTGTATGAACATATGACTGGTGACAGCGCACCTTCACACATACTGTATGAACACATGACTGGTGACAGCGCACCTTCACACATATGAACACATGACTGATGGCAGCGCACCTCCATACATACTGCATGAACACATGACTGGTGAACGCGCACCTTCACACATATGAACACATGACTGGTGAACGCGCACCTTCACACATACTGTATGAACACATGACTGGTGACAGCGCACCTTCACACATACTGTATGAACACATGACTGGTGACAGCGCACCTTCACACATACTGTATGAACACATGACTGGTGACAGCGCACCTTCACACATACTGTATGAACACATGACTGGTGACAGCGCACCTTCACACATACTGTATGAACACATGACTGGTGACAGCGCACCTTCACACATACTGTATGAACACATGACTGGTGACAGCGCACCGTCACACATACTGTATGAACACATGACTGGTGACAGCGCACCTTCACACATACTGTATGAACACATGACTGGTGACAGCGCACCGTCACACATACTGTATGAACACATGACTGGTGACAGCGCACCGTCACACATACTGTATGAACACATGACTGGTGACAGCGCACCTTTACACATGAATACATGACTGGTGACAGCGCACTGTCACACATACTGTATGAACACATGACTGGTGACAGCGCACCTTCACACATACTGTATGAACACATGACTGGTGACAGCGCACCGTCACACATACTGTATGAACACATGACTGGTGACAGCGCACCTTCACACATGAAAACGTGATCTTGACATCCATGACATCAGTTTGCTGCTGTGGACGCCCACTGATGAAAGGTTTAAAAGAAGCAGAGTTACAGTTCAGTTCAGAGGAGGCCAGGGTTTGATTCATGTCATTAACTGTGTGTTGTAGTTTTTAATGTGATATTGAGCTGAAATAGAGGATAACTTGGTGTAAGTAAACTGTAAATTGTTCATATGTTCTTGATGTGTTATCTTCAAACTCTGACTAGTGTAAAGTTTAGATTAGTTTACCTCTGTAAATTTATGACTGACTGTAACATAATTATTGCAGTCAGTTCTTCTGGTGAACAGTGTTATGCTTAATGCTTTAAACCAAAAGAGGATCATGACGAATTCTACTCAGGGTTCATATTTCATACTTGGTGCCTACTTTGACAGCGGTCCTTTAAAATATTTGTTTTTCATGATTCTTACATCATTATATACTTTTATTCTCAGTTTAAATCTTCTGCTCATTGTGGTTATCTGTATGAACAGAAGCTTACATGAACCTATGTACCTTTTTCTGTGCAGCCTGTTTGTAAATGAGCTGTATGGTAGTACAGGGTTGTTTCCATTCCTTCTGCTTCAGATTCTCTCTGACATTCACACTGTTTCTGCTCCCTTTTGTTTCCTGCAGATTTTCTGTTTGTATTCGTATGTAGCTGTGGAATTTGCCAATTTAGCCATCATGTCTTATGACAGATACCTTGCAATCTGTTATCCTCTACACTATAACACACGCATGACATTCAAGAAAGTCGTTATGCTTATTGGTGTATCATGGTTATACCCTTTTGTTGTAGTTGCTGGTACGACATCCTTAAGTTCCTCTTTACAGCTGTGTGGGAACATCATTAACAAAGTGTTCTGTGACAACTACTCTGTTGTCAAACTGGCCTGCTCTGACACCACAGTCAATAACATTTATGGACTTATTGCCACTTACTTTGTTGTCTTTGGTCCTTTAATTTTAATCTTTTGCACGTACATGAGGATTCTTAAAGTGTGTTTTTCTGGTTCTAAACAGACCAGACAAAAAGCTGTCAGTACCTGCACTCCTCACCTTGCTTCTCTGCTCAACTTTTGTTTTGGGGCATCCTTTGAAGTATTACAGAGCAGGTTTAACATGAACAGTGTACCTCACATGATGCGAATACTTTTATCATTGTACTGGATAACATGCCAACCGCTCTTTAACCCTTTGTTATATGGACTGAAACTATCCAAAATCTACATCAACTGTAAACGTTTATTTTCATGGAAAGTTTAGAGCATCCAAAAGATTTGTGTAACTTGACTAACAATAAAAACATGAAATGGTGCTTATAACTCCATTGTACTGTCAGCTGTGTATTATTTTCAACTCTCATGCGGATAAAACTTAAAAACATGATTGTGGCACAAGTTATGCAGCATGTTTTTTCTCTGATAAGAGAGATAAACCTGGTCTACTGGTACATAAAAACCCTCAGATTGACAATACACATAGTAGATGTGATTTGAAGTAAAGGCTCTCTCTGGATGTGAGCTTTCTTTAGGAGTTCCTGTTAAAGTCGTCATTCACTCACAGCAGGAAATGTAGACTGTATCCAAACTTTAGACAAATACTGAACAAACTTGCGTATCTGTCCATCCTGCTGTGTGATGTCACAGAGTCTGAGGGGAGGTCATTATCGTCCTCAGCCCTCTGTGCACCAGTGGAACCAGCGCTGAGGTCTGCTCAGGCTGATTGGTCTCACTGGTTGACAGCTCTGGCTGTAATTTGCTTCAGAGGGAATTAGTGGAAACTGTGGCTAATGTGAAGAGGCCTCAGGGACAAACATGTTGACAGGCTGAAATGACCTTTGACCTGAGGGACTTGGGACAGTGATGTAACTTTCCCAGCAGCCTCTGCAGGGTTTCTTTGAACTGCAACTGTTTTTATTCTTGAGTATCACTGGTTTGATTAGGAGTTTGAGAACCTGACTCTGTGTTTAAAATGTTGTTTTTTTATTGTCAGAAGGAACTACAAACTCCACTTCTAGTTTAAACAATCTAAAAAAACTGCAGTCCACACATTGTCATTGACTCTAACAGGACAGTGAGGCGTGAGGTGCAACAGACCAAATAATCTTTTGAGATGCCTTCAAACTTTTCCCTGTAGATGATGCCTTAATTTACTCCTTTGTCTTCTTTTTAATATATATAATTATCCAGCTGTGATCAGCTGCTGCCGTCATCAGAAACAGACGTCACGTCATGCTTTAGAGGAAAGGTCTCATTTCTCTAAAAACATATTTCCTAGTTTCTTCTCCTTCTGCATGGTTTCGCAAGACGAAAAGACGCAAGTGAGGGAAACGTGGATACAATTAAGAGAAGTGAGAAGCACCAGATGTCATGGAATTGATTAACGGGGAGCAGAGAGACTGGAATTCTGTCATTTGGGTTTTTGAGGAAGCAGATATTCTGTCCATGTTAATGTGGTCTAATGTGGAGATTTCTGTATTAGGTGATACTTAAATTGATTTTAGCCTTCCACTTCACGAGGATAGTTTTCTTGGCAACGCATGGGGCAGTGAGAACCCGTACGATGTGTCAACGTCTATACTAATGTCACTTAGGTCCCACAGCATATCTTCTGCCTGAACCTTTGGACAGTTGCACATTGCCACAAAGAATGAATACTACTGTCAGTGCAGACAAATGTTTGACTGCACAAGACGCATTCTGAACATCCTTTGTCCTGCATAGTGTGTGCTATGGAGAGCTTTATACTATATGAGATGTAGATTTTTAGTTCTGGCCTGCGAGCCGCCTAATGCTGCCCACTGCTCTAGTGTGTCTGTTCTGCTAACCCAGCTGGGCAGCACATCTCTTGGTCTGTCTGTGTAGACTTTGTGTCTGAACAATGTTATTTTATGTTTAATAAATGACTATGGGCAACAGTGTTTTAAACTTCAGCTCAGAAAAGATAACAGCATCATGCCTGCACATGCGTTCATGTGCACATGCACAAAATTAATCTTCCAGCAGCAACCTCAGTGAGTACCAGACAATACACAGATGTGATGGCATTCCTTGTAGCATTCCCAGGCAGCCTGGGCAAATCGAAACATAGTAAATGGGCGGCGCGGTGGAGCAGCGGTTTGCAACAAGGTCGAACTTTGGTCATCCCAGGCCTTTCTGTGTGGAGTTTGCGTGTTTGCCTGTTTGCCCGTGTCTCCGGGTGCTCCGGCTTCCTCCCACTGTCCAAACACATGCAGGCTAGGTTAACTGATGACTCTAATTGTCCCTTAGGTGTGAATGTGAGTGTACTTGATTGTTTGTGTCTGTGTGCCCTGTGATGGATTGGTGACCCATCCAGAGATGTAGACCCAGCATCAGATACGATCAGCTCAGACCCTAATGGAACAGTTGCTGCTCCAACAAATGACTCGGCAGATTGGCCCCCAATCTTAAAAGACTTTATGAAGAATGAGTTAGTGTGCAGAGGCCCATATAAACCAGCACTGGATTTTTCTTACCCTAAACACAAGCCTAGAAGTGGTTTTCATTCAGACAGCACTGCTGTGTGACTGCGCAGCAATGGTTTATATGGCTCATGAGTCAGGTAAGCAAGATTACCCTGAAGTAGTTAAAGTTTCATCATGGTGTCTAACGGGGCTGCTTCGACTGTTCAGACAGGGAGGTGTTAATTCAGGTGAGTAGCCTTTGGGCAAGCCACTGAAGTGGTTACTCACCTTTTGTGAGGATGTCCCCACAAAAACTGTAAAAGTATTGTCTAACAAAAACGGTGGATTACAAAAACCATGAAAACAGGCTCTGAATGAAAAGAAAATAGCATTCAACAGACTAAATAAAGGGGAAAAAACAAAGCCAGGGACGCCTTGCGAGGCCTTAAAACGCTGGCTGGCCTTCCCATTAACAACGCAGCATCATCTGGGACAACAGACTCCGTCAACCTGGCAGAGGACCTCAATTAATTCTACTGCAGATTTGACAAGTACGATTATTCACAAGAGATGATACCTGCCCAAGCAAATCTTGAGCTGCCGCAGGAGGAGTTTGAACTCATGCAGAAGAGGATGAAACCGAACATAGCACCAGGACCTGACCAGAGCTGTGGCCGGTTGCTAAAGGCCTGTTGCAGCCATCTGGAAAGGATTTTTTGTCACCTGTTTACCTACTCCCTGTAAGAACATTAAATCCCATCACTCAGGAAATCCTCAGTCATCTGTCAAGTAGCCTCTACTTGACCATTTAGAAATGTGCTGCAAGGCAAGCCCCACCCCACCCCAAAGTACTGGGAAAGTACTACCTCCGGAGCAGGGACCTTTACATTAAGGACATTTTATCACAAACGTATTTTTACTGTGGGGATGCAATATAAATCACAAGATAACCGTGTCTCCCATAATACACTGTGGTGGTGATACCAATGGGAGAAATCAGGTCCTGAACTATAAATTTCCAAACCTACACATTCCTGTTAACCCCTTGAGTCAAGCATAAATCTAGCTTTATTAATGTCAGGTGTAATTGCAAAGGTATCCAGTTACAGATCTAATGGAATTGGGGTCTTAGTCAGGCCTTCAGTATCATGGGGTGTCAGTACCATTCTCCTGAGCTTCATTTTCTTGTTTAAAGTGCAAAAAAACGAACCAACAGAAACAGGCGACACACATAACACAGTATGTCTGCAAACACCAAGGAGCTGACGTGCTGCTCATGGGATGACAGGACACAAGTACTGCATCCATTGTTTAAATAGTTCAAACTGTAGCAGAGCATATATGGTGTTTTTATCCTTAAACTTTCCTTCTTCTGTACTCCTTATGTTAGTCTGTCCACATTTACTAGGGTTTAGTTCAGACCTGTGAGATTTGTTGGTGTTTTTCTTTCTTGCTGTTTCTCTCCTTTGCTTGAATGTGCACAATTTCCACGACACTAGTGAGTGTGCAGCTTGTATAACAGTGTAAATTTGCTGTCCCCTCAAAATAACACATCGCACAGCCATTAATGTCTAAAGTGAGGACACCAAATTGGGCCCATAGTGTCAATATTTTGTGTGGCCACCATTATTTTCCAGCACTGCCGTAACCCTCTGGGACATGGAGTTCAGCAGAGCTTCACAGGTCGCCACTGGAGTCCTCTTCCACTCCTCCATGACAACATGACGGAGCTGGTGGATGTTAGAGACCTTGTGCTCCTCCACCTTCTGTTTGAGGATCCCCACAGATGCTCAGTAGGGTTCGGGTCTGGAGACATGCTCGGCCAGTCCGTCACATTTACCCTCAGCGTTTTTAGCGAGGCAGCGGTCGTCTTGGAGGTGTGTTTGGGGTCGTTATCATGTTGGAATACTGCCCTGCGGCCCAGTCTGTGAGGGGAGGGGATCCTGCTCTGCTTCAGTGTGTCACAGTTCATGTTGGCATTCATGGTTCAGACCAGTTTGATGCAGTGTGTGGCGTATGGGCTGAGCCCTGATAGGCTGACCCCCGACCCCTTCAGCCTCTGCAGCAATGCTAGCAGCACTCATACGTCTGTTTCCCAAAGACAACCTCTGGATATGACGCTGAGCACGTGCGGTCAGCTTCTTTGGTCGACCACGGCGAGGCCTGTTCTGAGTAGAACCTGTCCTGGTGAACCGCTTGTATGGTCTTGGCCACCATGCTGAAGCTCAGTTTCAGGGTCCTGGCAGTCTTCTTACAGCCTCGGCCATCTTTATGTAGAGCAACCGTTCTTTTTTTCAGATCCTCAGAGAGTTCTTTGCCATGTTGAACTTCCAGCCACCAGTATGAGGGAGTGTGAGAGCGATAAAACCAAATTTAACACACCTGCTCCCCATTCACACCTGAGACCTTGTAACACTAACGAGTCACATGACACCGGGGAGGGAAAATGGCTAATTGGGCCCAGTTTGGACATTTTCACTTCGGGATGTACTTACTTTTGTTGCCAGTGGTTTAGACATTAACGGCTGTGTGATGTGTTATTTTGAGGGGACAGCAGATTTACACTGTTATACAAGCTGCACACTCACTAATTTACACTGTTGTTAAGAGTCATTTCTTCATTGTTGTCACATGAACAGATAAAATCACATATTTACAAAAATGTGAGGGGTGTACTCACTTTGTTAGATACTGTAAGTACAGTCATTGGAAAATGAAGAGAGGGTTTTTGGATTAAAGAGCAGCTGACCACGATCTACCTAGCCCAAACAACCGGACCAGGCATCACGGCAGGTGCGGTGATCGCGTAGAGAGGAAAGAGAGCCAGGAGAGGAGCCAT